CAGCTTTCAATGGCCACTTTGAAGTGGTGCAGTTGTTGCTCGATGCTAGCGCTGACAAGAATGCGACAAAGACAGATGGAGAAACTGCCTTGATGGTTGCAGCTTTCCGTGACCACTTTGAAGTGGTTGAGTTATTGCTCGAGGCTGGAGCTGACAAGAATGCACCAAAGAAAGATGGACAAACCGCCTTGATGGGTGCAGTTTTCAATGGCCACTTTGAAGTGGTGCAGTTGTTGCTCGAGGCTGGAGCTGACAAGAATGCGACAAAGATAGATGGAGAAACCGCCTTGATGAGTGCAGCTTTCCATGGCCACTTTGAAGCGGTGCGGTTGTTGCTCAAGGCTGGAGCCGACATGAATGCGTCAATGGCAGATGGAAGAACCGCCTTGATGGGTGCAGCTAGCCATGGCCGATTGGAAGTGGTGCAGTTGTTGCTCGACGCTGGAGCTCACACGAATGCGATAAAGACAGATGGAGGAACCGCCTTGATGGGTGCAGCTTTCCATGGCCACTTTCAAGTGGTGCGATTGTTGCTCGACGCTAGAGCTGACATGAATGCGACAAAGACAGATGGAGAAACCGCCTTGATGGTTGCAGCTGTCGTTGGCCACTTTGAAGTGGTGCAGTTGCTGCTTGAGGATGGGGCTTACATGAACGCGGTAATGGCAGATGGATTCACCGCTTTGATGGGTGCAGCTTTCAATGGCCACTTTGAAGTGGTTCAGTTGTTGCTCGACGCTGGAGCTGACAAAAATGTGAAGACGACACATGGAAGAACCGCGTTGATGGCTGCAGCTCAGAATGGCTACTTGGACGTGGTGCAATTGTTGCGCTAAGGGGGGCCTCCAACCTATGACCGCGATCGCCTCCAGCCATGGCCGCCATGGCCGCGAGTCGAATGGAATGCACTAGCGCCTCAGTACCACGTCGTCCGCGTCGCCATGCTTTTCTGAAGACATCGCCGTCGGAAAGGTGTGAACATCGCCGTCGCCATGGCATTCCATCCACTTGGGAAAGGTACGGAGGTTCCCTCCCAATTGACTCCCCATATGAAAAACAGAGAGGGAGAGAGAAAGGCTGGTTGGCGGTGAAAAAAAGCTATATTTGGGATAATATACAATTCACCATTAACATCCATTAACCTTGCAGGTGAGTTGAAGCCACCGACCAGTGAGAGCTCAGGGTGTCCGCTCTCATTCACGTTTCGCTCAGCTCCAAGCCGAGAGAGGGAGGACAGTGCTCTCTCTCTCTCGAGAGAGAGGGATTTGCTTTGTTTGGTCTCGCAGGAGTGGTTGGACCATCTCAGAAGAAACCCACACAGCAGCTGTTCTGATCCTTGGGGTGGCAACACCGCGATCTTTGGGTTTCCTATGATCTATTAGCAGCTTCTTGCTACTAGGAGCGATGGCCTCCACGCTAATAGCGATGGCCTTCAACCTACTAGCTTCTTGCTACTAGTAACTTAGTAACTCATTCTTTAAATTGGTATTTTTTGCCAAAGCTCCAACAAACATGCCCGGACAACCCCGAAGGCATGGATTTCTCCACCAGGAGTACCTCTCATGAGGCTCTTGCATGATCTAATATGATGTGTTTTTTTCATGGTGAAAGTCTCAGACCCCCAAAAGCAAAAACTCACGAGACATGTAGATATTTGCTTTCCGCCCGGGTCGTTACCATGCTTTCTGGTCTTCCGCCCGGGTCATGGTACAGGGGGGTTTGTTTGAGGTTTACGACCCACTTCTCAGTTCTTTTTTGGTGACATGTGTGTTTAGTTTCTTTTATATACTCAGTTCTTCTTCTCATGACTCAATGGTACATCGGCTGGCCTGAGCTTCTTTGCGTCCGTCCGAGACACTCGTCACCGCGAATCGTTGTCACCGCGAGCATCGTCTCCCGTAGCGAGACCGCCAGGCTACTTGAAGAACGGGGACTTCATCCCATCAGTGCATGGCAAGATCTTGCGGGTGCAGTCAGGCTGGGCAGTTGGGGGCCCGTTGACAACCAGATTTTGGACCCAAAGCATGGAACACATGGCAAACGGATGGAAGCAAATGAGAGATGATATATATATATATAATATATATATATAGTCTTTGTTTGACCAGCCATTAGATGAAGAACTTTGGAAAACCCTGCCAAACATAGGTTTAGGAGAGAGGCTATGGATAACATGAGGACATGTTGAAGGTCAAGCCCAAACAGGCGAGCAGGGAGGCCACAAACTGCCAAACATTTGGCAGGTTGCGCAGGCCCATTTGACTGGTTGCCTCCTCCTGGCTGATGGGCATTCAAAGTGGTGAAAACACCGTATGTAAGTCAACAGGGTAGTTGTGGATCCGAAGTCAATGGCAAAGTGGCCTCTTTTGGCAGGCTTTGGCATGTACTTGTAGAAAAGAGGGTTTGCGGGTGCTCTGCTTTGAACCATACCCAAGAGGGAGGAACTAGTGATGAAACTCATTGTTTTGGAGATCTCCTCAATTTAGAGACAGATCCAACGCTTGTAGCTGCGCTTGATGGAGTTCACCTTTGCATACAGAAGTCAGACCATCGGGCCCTGTGTTCCCTCACGGAGAGTTGGACTGGTCGGCCCTTCACCCATCGACGAGCTTGCGGAACGGAGTGAGTTGGGAACGGAGGAGCTTTTCAGAAAACGGGAGCAAGAGTCCCAACACCGCCCCTTCTCCATGACAGGTCATGTTCACAGGTAGTCTCGTGGGAAAACACCACACCGGCCCTCACTCTTCAAGTCTCGTGCTGCTTAAGACGCGTCGTGAACCGTCTACCTTCAGTTCGTGTTTTCACACAGGCGCAGAGGAGGTCTTTGTGTTCTCGCCCCATCCAGAGAGTCACGCCATCATCTTGGAACACTACGGCAACTGGCCGGCGGTCTATGCCTGGGACCTCAGGGGACCGCAATGCGCTCTCGAAGCGCTCGAGAGCAGCGTGAGCTCGAGAGCCTTGGGGGTCGGCTGAAGCAGCCAATTCTGTGGTACTCAGGTGGTAGAGCAAAGATACTGGAAAAGCTGCTGGTGAGTTGCTATATTCCGCTATATTCGAGCCAGAGGCCAGAGAGGCTAGAGAGTGACTGAGCACGGCTCTAGGATCTTTGTGTGTGCACTCAGAGATCACCGGACAGAGGGGCCGCAGATTCTTGACTGGCGGGGGTCGTCCACACTTCATAATTCGAAGGGTATTTCCGGCACTTGCTCCCAGGTGATTGAAATAGAAAGCCTGTGAAGGGCATCCCTGTTCCTTTCAGAAAGGCATTGCTCCGACCACACCTGCAGACCAGCGATCACGAAGCCATCACCCCCGATCACGGCCACTCAGACAGCGATACTTCTTTGTGTGGAAGCATGTGGAAGCGAAATCCAACAGAGTATAACGACTATACTGGTTGATCTCCACGCCTCAAATGACTCAAGAGATCTCAAGAGCATTTCTTCATAACACAGCGGTTTGTTTTCTGAAACATAGCTATTCAATCTTAGCCGAGGAGGCCCATGCATGCTTCAGAGATCTTCAGAGTCACTTCTGAAGAGGTACACTAGGGTTGAGGACCATATTCATTCCGTGAAGACATGGTATTCTGGTCAAAAGTCAACACCCCTTGTCGTCGTGTTTGTTCAGGCAATATTTTCTGAGTTTTACACTGGCACCTGTGACCCCGAATAGATGGTTTGATGGATGAAAGAAAAGCAAGGGATTCACTCTTCTGTTGCCTAGCACCATTTCAAATTTCCTTTACCTCTTCAAGGCTTCACATCCACCTTCCAACTCACCGAGCACCTACCCGCATGGTCAGGTTTTGCGATCGACGAAACCGGGGAGTCTTTTTCTGCGAGTTTCTTCACCTTTCCAGTCACCCCCCATGCACTCCCAGGAAGACCACCTCCATGAAGTGTAAAACCACTCCAGTCACCCCCCACTCCTGACGGGGTCTTCGCACTCAGACCAAGCACTCGTCACTCCCCCGGACCCGGACCCGCCGAGCCGCCCCGGACCCAGCAAGGCCACCACGAGCTCGGACTTGTCCCGCTCGACCTCCGACGGGGCCTATGCCATCTATGCGGCTCGCACCGGGTCGGTTGGAGGGACCAGCACGACAAGCATATAGATCGAAGGATGGCCATCGCATTGGTTCGGGATCGCAACAGCTGTTTAATTACCCTTTTGTACAATCCATTTTCCAGGGTCACACTAGAATCTAGAAGAAGATATCGCCAAACCCTCTGAACAGTCGGAAAACATTCTCCATGCGTAGGTAGTGAGTTCTTTTTCGCTGCCTGGTGGCCGGATGAGACCGGGCAACCCAGGTGCCGGTCGGGGCGGTGCCGGCGGGGGACACCAAGAAAGCCACCATCTTCTATGCCGTGCCTTGGACGTTCACGGCTGGGTGGAGAGAGGTTCTGAGGGCAAGGGAGTGACGAAAGAGAGTGAAGGACAAGGGAATGGAAAACAAGGACGAAACAGGGCACCTTGCTGAAGAGAGCACATCCCATGCTCCTCCTGCAGGAGATCCAGTGGCCACCCAAATGCTGAACCCCTCAAGTGCCGTCCAAAGGCAGCACCCGGGAAAAGCAGTACTCTCCCTATTCAAGATACCCTGAGCTTCCTGACTGATGGAAAGTGTGTAGTGCCAACGGGGCAACATGTGGAGATGTGCACTAACCAGGCCAAATATAGAATGTATTCGAAGAAAAACACACACATTTTTTGACGTCGCTGTCGAAGTGGGGAGAGGCCAGCGGCTGGGTGGGGGGGTCCAAGATGGTGCAAGGCAAGCAGATGGAAAATAGATGAAAGGGTGTTTGGCTGAAATAGGTCCACTTTTCCCCATGGGTTTACTTTCCTTTGACTTTGACCTGAAACCGGTTGGGACTTCTCAATAGTAACTACTGCGATCGAGCTTCGATCTCGATCGCTGGTGTGTGGGTGATCTTAGTGCTGAGTTTGGGCTACAAGAACTGGAACCTTGCAAGTTGCCAAACACAGACATGCCCAGTCTAGAGTCTAGATGATGGGAAGAGCATCCAGAGAAAGAGATCCCACAAAGATGTCACATCCGCTTTGCCTCACATCACAGGAGACGGACATGGGCACATGTTCCGACCGGGAGTTGTGAGCCCTGTACACTCCCCCCCTGCAAGTGCCACCACTTTGACCATCCACATCGGCACATCATTCTTTCGACAAGGGCTTTAGCAAAGCTGAGTAGAACATGTGTTCAAAAAACCTTCGAAAAAACCAATCAACTGGAGAAACTCCAAGGCAACCACCGCCTCGCCTCGCATTCCTCTCGCCTCGTCTTCACCGTCGGAGGCGGCCGGTGCGAGTGACCTCAATCTACTGGCGCGTGCGAGCGAGGAAGCGGAAGCTGAAGGTGCGGAGCCGAAACCGACCACGAACATGGCCAGTGAACCGGGTGAAGGGGAGCCTTTGTGTACTGGAACCGCATGGAAGAGAGACCAGCCTGCAAAAGCGGTGGGGTGCCCGTTGACCTGAACATGGCCTCCAATCAAGAGTTCAAGATCTCTAAGATTCTTGTTTCTTTACACGATTTCGATTTCGATCTACTTATGGATCTATCGGGTCTGTCACTCGTGTCACGCCGTCAGCCCCGAGGGGTCTGTCACTGCGCGGAATGCCGGTCAACGTTTTCTCTCGTGGAGCACCAACGCGCCACGTATCTTTCACCGACTCAACCCACAAACTCCAACAAAGCAACACTGCTATTGGTACCATGGGATGGGGATGGACACCCCTTAATGGTGTGCCTGCATGTAATTCCTCACTTCACTTTGTTAACCCATCAAGTTCTGACTTTGCCACAAACCATAGCTTTGTTCATAAAGGTCTTGTGAAACTTCAGACCCGTCTGTGAACACCCGACCCACCACTAAACCGAATCTTCCAACTTGCAACGGCCCCGGGTCCGCCGATTCCGCCAGAAATGCCCAGCACTACCGCAACCGTGGCCACGGCCGCCACAACCATGGCCACGCTGGCCACCCTGCCGCCCATCGCGACGACGGAAGCCAGCTCCAGTACGATGAGGGGCTTGGCGGTGACCCAGCGAGAAGGAAGAGAACGGGAGGTTCGATGCCATTTTTGGTGTCTCAAGTTGAAGTTGGCTTCGAACTGCTGGCACCACGAGTCCCTATTCAAGAACCACTCTGGAATAGGTGGGTGTTGAAGGACGATAAACAAGTGACACTATCCACTGGACGAGAAACAAGGACTCCTGAGGAAGTTTTGTTTCGGCCAAATGATAAAGCTAAGCTCAAACATGACCACAGTTCGGAGGTTCTTTTTAAATTTTTGCATCCGTTCACTCCAGGCTGATTAGGGTTGTCTTTTTTCCACGTGATAAGCTATTTGAAGAAACACATCCTGGAATGCTTGATGGTCTGCATCTGTAGGTCAAGGAAGTTGGAGAGCCTAGCATTAGATTAAGCATACCCTGCAGAGCTTTGTTTTCCGGAATGGTGCGACGGTCGCTTGAGGCACCTTCTTTCAGCTACGGTTTACATAGAGGCCTATTTTGAGATTTGATGTGCGTATTTTCAGAATAATTCAGTGGCTTGTTAAGCCCATGGTTGTTGAACCCAACTGTCCGAGACAATGCAAACACATGCCAAGACCTATGATGCCCCAGTGGCCACTCCAAATTTGAACCGATAGAGTAGCGGCTTGTCTGGAAGATGCTGATCTCATCACTTCGTCATACTTGGGTCGCCACCCATTCCCAGGCAACTGAGGTTTGAACCATCATCAGTCTACCACTTCCAGAAGCGACTTGTTGCCCAAACCTTCCGTCTGACGCGCATCTCAGTGTGATCGACTCCCCCAGGTCTTGCAAACGCCATTCCTCAAGGTCGCGGTGATGGAGGACGGGAGTGTCTTGGCGCAGTCGGACGGGCGCCGGATCTGACCAATCCGACTCCAAACGGTCGAAGCGGTATACGCAGAACCACCGGTCAGACGTGGAAGCCTTCTTGCAGACGTGGAAGCCAGAGGCTCCGAGAGGCTCAGGTGTTGGAGTTTGCCCCAGCAGAACCTGAGAACGAAGCTGCGGCAAAGGCGAACTCCACCTTCATGGGCGAAGGTGTTGAGGCAAGGCGATTCAAGGTGTATAAGAGCCCAAGCCAGGTGAAATCGAGGCAGTCGGAAAGTATTAAATGAATACATGCACACCGTTTGCTCGTTCGCGACCTTGTATTTTCTGAAGGGTTTTGTTTCAAGACAGCAAAAGCACTTCCAAATTTGGGCCCAAAGCACTGGCAGGGGTCGGACCCTCCATAGCAGGACTTCCGGCCCCTGTAGATATATAGAGGAACACTTACGGGTGTTCCCTCCCGTTCGGTGACCCTCCTTCGTCGAAAAGAGATCCACCACCTCTCTGTCTTCGGCGACCACCCACCGAGCCTCGGGTGGTTTGTCAGTCGAAGCAAGGCTTAGCGCAGCCCTTCTATTATTCCACGCTGCATGGATGGACCAAACTCACCTATGGCCACAAGAAGCTGGACTCCGCCATCAAGGTGCATAAAACACTGCCATCACGGTCAGGGAGCAGAAACATGCAGAAAACACTGCCGACTGGTCGGCGGAATGGTGGAAAAGACTAGGGTCGAAGGACACAAACCCAAATGGTTTTGGGAGTCGACTGTCGCTCTTTTGCACATCAAGCATTAAAGATTATCCCGGCAATTCACCCCAAACAGTGTGTGTGTGTGAGGTCTAAAAGCAGAAAGTCTAGAGATCTAGACGCATTGGGGTCCAGAGAGGTGATGGTGGTGATAAAGGTGGGGATCGTGGTGACGGTGGGGGTGGTGGTGAGTGAGTGAGTGATTGTGAGTGTGAGTGTGAGTGTGAGTGTGAGTGAGAGTGAGAGTGAGAGCGAGAGAGAGAGAGAGAGAGAGAGTGAGTGAGTGAGTGAGTGTGAGTGTGAGTGTGAGTCTGAGTGTGAGTGAGTGTGAGTGTGAGTGCACTTCAAGGTTCATGAAGTGCCGTGACTGCCAGGAAATCTGCGCATCGAGGTCCATGAAGTGCTGCGCCTGCTACGAAATCTGCACTTCGAGGTCACACAAAGTACTGCGGTTGCCACGAAATCTGCACTTCTAGGTTCACAAAGTGCTGCGCCTGTCACGAAATCTGCGCGTCGAGGTTCACAAAGTGCTGCGCCTGTCACGAAATCTGCACTTCGAGGTTCACAAAGTGCTGTGCCTGCCACGAAATCTGCACTTCGAGGTTCACCGCAAGTTCTGTGCCTGCCACGAAATCTGCAAACGAGCCACATGTGGAAAAGCTACGATTCACTGCACCTGTCACGAAATCAGAGCGCCTCGACGATCACCACCATGTCCAAATTGCTGCACCTGCCACGAAATCTACACTTCGAAGTAAAACCGCTCCAATCCCTTGCGCCTGTCACGAAAAGTCGACTTTGGACCTCCAAAGCACGAGATTTCCCTTGCGCCTGCCAGGAAAAGTGACCACCATGTGCGAAAATGCGCACGGCACCACAACGAGAGCGCAGTCGCTAGAAGCGCCCGCCGCGGCCACCCAGATTTCGCGAGCCTGCGCAGTCGAAATGCACTTCGAGGATTTCGAGAGGCATGAATGTACTGTAAATAGCAGCGAATTAGCCGCACACGCCCGCGCACTTCAGCGATCTAAGCATCAGTTGCTTTACTCCTACCGTAAGAACCCCTAAGTGTGTCCACACTTTTTGGGGAAAAAGCACCTCTGACCCTTAAGCTTTTTGAGGAGGATTCATGCGTCATATAAGCCCACATCCAAACCCCAACAAATCCCCAAACGGTAAACGAACAGGTGGGGGAAATCATTTTGGTCAGCCCACTTCAGTTTTTTGTTGAGCTGCAGACTTGTTTGACATATTTTGTGGTGCTGACCGTCCTGGGTGTGATCGAAAAAACAGGAAAGAGTGTCATCCTGGAGGTAACTGGCGGCGTGCATGTCCAAGAAAGGCAATAATCCAAAAACATGTTTTTGGATGTCATGACAAAACTATCAAACAACATGCTCTATACCATCCGTTTTTGTTGAGTTTGACCTGCACCTTGCGCAAAGAGACACAGCAACAAGACCTGGCTTCCAGCATGTACTCAGATAGCATATCCCTTCTTTGGTTTGTCTCAGCACTTTTTCTTGCCATTGGACACATCGCATTTCGTTTAGACTTGATGCGTGTGACCAGCGTGTGTAAGCCAATGACTCACCAGCTTATTTTTTTGAGGGTGAACATGTCTTGCGCCCTCATGGAGGAATCTAAACAAGGTCTTTGTAAAGTGGTTTCTTTGGGATTATGGGTGGAATCAAGGAACTGAGCGATGCAGATAGTTGGAGTATGCAGTAGAGCCATAGACTCTGGTGACGTGGACAATCCCGGATAAAGCTCGCTCATGGAAAAACTTCGCAAGAAGATCGAAGGACACTCAAGAGTCAAGAGTCATGGCCATGCCATGGTTCTGATGGTCGACGAGAGCCTTTGCCACTGACCTCTTGAATAGATCCTGAACCATCGATGGCCTTTAAAAGGGCCCTTGGTCGGTTGCTTCACCGAGGGGATACCCCAATACCGTCCCGTACCTCGTGTACCACTGGGTACCTGGCACCGACCCCTCTTGGGCCCAACCGTCGGACCTCTCGGTGTCAAAGTCGTTCGTTTCAACCGTTGGCTGGGAGGAAACGGATGGGCAGAATCGAACGGGCTGTCCATAGCCATATCCGATTGCCTAAGGCAAATCCGAAACCTCTGCTTTACACCATGGGGTGCGGCTCCGCAGTCTATGATTGATCAACAGGTCACATGCGGAGGAGCCAAGGACAGTGTGACCTGCCGACCGGTGATCCACGTGGTGTGACCGTCTTGTCTAGGTTTTGAGCAAACGCACATTTTGTTGCTGGGAGCACATGGCACAAATCATTGAGGCCCATGGTGCGCGTGCTTAGCGTGCCTGAGCAGCAGCCATGTTCTTTTTGTGAGACATGTGCAGAAGCCGAAGCTGTACTCTTAAGGCACTGTGTGACACAGCCGTTGGGCGCACAGCCGGCATAGCCGTCCGGTCAGGTTGATGGGCAGCTTGCCAACCTGGAAGGCACGGGGACCTGCAAAGCCTTCGAGTTTCACTCGCACTTTCGAATTTTGACAAGTGCGCAGCAATAGTATGAGTCCTTACAACTGCCAACAGGAGGCTTCTTTGCCGGCATGTCTCTGTTGCAGCGTGCTTCTGTTGCTTTGGGTGCCACTTGTGTAGGGCATGGAGTTAGTTATGGCCCCATGCTTTTTCCTGCGACGAATGTAGCTGGCTAAACTCTTTCATTTTCACCGCCGCATGCATTTTTTCCATGTCCCAAGAGGAACTTGTTTCATCATGTAACTTGGACACGCAACAGAAACATCCTCTTGCTACCCACGCGTGGATGCTCAGGGGAGGCGGCCATCGAGAGTTCGATGGGCCAGAACTCCTTGTCCACGAGATCGCAAGTGGCCGTGGAGGGCATCCCGAAGGCCATCGCTTTGGGGATCTGGAAAGTCTTGAACAAGTCCTGCCCGGATGTCCCTTCTCGTTTTTTTTGACAATCGCCATCGATCTATCATTTTTGGGTGCCAAACGCCCTTTTGAATCCTTTGGAGACGAAGACCACAAAATGATTGGACCAAACAGGAAAAATAGAAGGTACACAAGTGTCCCACGGCCTTCAAGGAGAAACACAAACGATGGGGATGAATCAGGATAGAACCAAACGTCTTTCTGCTCCAAAGCAAGACCACAAATAATCTCAACATCTGCTGTGCTACTGTTGCATCTCCTGAGTACTGTTTTTGAAACAATCTTAATTACCGTTCTGCGAGAACTGGAGATGCTAATTATTCCCACATGAACATTTTTTATTTGAGGGTAGCGCTGTTATGGCCTAAAAATGTCCGCTGTTTGAAAACACAAATGTTTGTTTGAAACCGGTCTGTGATGTTTGTCGTTTGAAATTGCCTAATTAATCCATCCACGTACTGATTTGGTCTTTGATCACAACACCTATCACACTCGAAACAATCTGCTCATTTTTACAGCGGATTTCGGGAACGTGTCTTTGAACATGTGTTGCCAATCACTTGAAGCTAGTTGGGAGGCCTTGTTTTATTTTCAATTGGTTATAAACACATGAGTTTTCAGGCCTCGATCAACATGTCGTTTCAAGTGGAACGGCCAACATCAAGGCGAAAAGATGTGACATTTTCGTATGCTGGAGCTTCCACTTGCCGCCACACAAACAGACTTTCCGTTGGCTCTTAAGAGCCCATGGAGGGCTCCTTTGGGGTGTCTCGAGCTCCGTGCCAAGGCCGAGGTCTTACGACGCCTGGGGGCATCACAGTCGTCCGCTTTTGGTGGGGTTGTGGAGAAGACTGTGGTAGGATGGAGGGCTTTGGATGGAGCACCTTCTTTTTCGGCGGGGTTGTGGAGGATGCGCTCGCGGCCTAGGTCTCAGACAGCTGGCGAACATGGTTGTGGCGGATGGTCTGTTTGGTAGTCTGGCGAGGTGAGGGATCGGATCGATGAGGGGCCACCTGCGGGTCAGCCCGAAAAGGTCGATTTGAATATGATACTTTTCAGTTACCGTTCAAAGGTGGCCAAGCAAATCATGTTCCAAAACGACTTCCAAAACAGGTTCAAGAGGGGCTCACGTGTCTAATTTGATTCTATGTAATTAAATTTTGCAGGCATGATGCGCTCGGGCACCAATGGCCGAGAATCTTGTTCTACTCCAAGCTTACAACTGTTGATGTCTCAACTGTTTCCTTCACGAACGCATCCACCACATTGTACTCGTTTTCTCGGTCGTACCGCAAAACAACTGTGCGAGCCCCGGCACGTCTCAGCGTTTTTTTCACCCAGGAAGTTACAGCTTTTTGGGGAATGGCATGGTCTTGAATGTCACCTTCACCTTCACAGCTCTCAGTTCCATCTCGAGCCTGGAGGTTGTGACGGGGACTGGGTTCGATGGGGGGCCTTTCGAGTGGATGTGTAGTGTGTTTCGGCAGTCAGGCAGTGGGTGAAAGGATGTGAAAGGAATTACCAAGAAAGCGCCTTTGGTTGCTCCTTTCCAGTTGGGCCTTTGGATGAAAGGGCTTTTGGCTCAATTGGACTGGAGATGTGTCGCCGTTCCTTGTGTGATTCAGGTAAGCATTTCGATGAACCCCAGTACCATGCAAGTTGCTTCCCTGCTGGTGAGAGATCCTTTAAACATGGTGTCTCCTCAAAAAACCGAGTGATTTCTTGAACGACCACAAGCAAATCAGATCATCAAAGACCAATGGTCCTCATACGGGATCAGATTCTCAGGAATCCACCTTTGCTTGGATCCTTTCCCAAAAGAATCAGATCATTACAAGCAAATCAGCCTTTTTGTTGAGATTCTCAAAGGCTGACTGGGCTGAATCTCGATCCGAGCTCGACGGCGCCACCGGATCACCGGATCCGGCTGGAACCCGACTCCATGGACCTCCATAGACTCACCCGACTTCATGGGGGCCGGGACGAAGGGGGCGTGGGTGGATCCTTTCGGAGTGTTTCTGGGATGGAGGTTTCCAGAAAGAACCACGTGACCAGCTTTTAAGTGAGTGTTTTCTGGGTTGGGTGGTGATTTGTCCGAATCTTTCATGGGAATCAGGCCTTTCGGGAACCACCATGAACCTGCCTTCAAGTTAGTTTGGTTGACCATGGTTGACCGATCACCAACAAAACACCGGGTCGCTCTAAGATACCGCAGTACTGAAGAAAGGCCACGAAAGCTGCCAGGGAGAGAGCTGCTAAGAGAAGAAAGCTGCCAGGCCTTCCATGATCCCATTTATTCCATAGGAATCCACGGAGCTTCATCACACCAATCGCACCAAACACGGGTGCCTCACGGTGCACCACCGTCGCAGGTCTGGCTTGGCACTTCAGACGATTGGATCGGCACCACCGATCGACCCAGTAAGCAACAAGGCGTGGAGTGGTGGAACCTGGTGGGGAACCGACCGACCGTTTCGGTGGACGACTCGGACGACTCGGTGTGGACCGTTTCGGGTGTTTCGTGTGTGACGACTCCACAGCGAGATGCACCATGAATGCACATGAATACACAGACTAGTCACTAGTCTATGCCGGGGCGCAGAAACAAAGCCCGGTGTCACCAGTGGTTCGAACAGACGAGCTTCGAGAACGCAATGTCTGCCGACTTCAACGTCGACGGCGTGAAACGCAGGCTACTTCCAAGGGGGGGGCCTTCGTCCCAGCGCCGCATGGGAAGATCTTACAGGTGGCCTCAGGCGTGCCTGGAGCCATCAGAGGTGAAGACTTTTCCTATTGCAAAATACTGTAATAGGACAGGCTGCTGCTACATAATTAGCATCATGTATGAGCACGTACTTCTTCAATTGTCCGTTTGTGAGTTTGATACGTGAGAGTTCGTTGGATCTATCAGAATGGGTGTTGAAGGCAATCAGTGGCAATTCTTTTGAAGGCTGTCTCCCTCCCTCTGTCTCTAACATTGCGGCCTATTCAAGGAAAGGTATATGTTTTCATTTCCAGAGGCCGCGTCTAGGATATAGAGACATATAGAGACAATTAATCTGTCAAGGCGCCTACAATTGACTAGATGCAGCTCTGACGTTCTGTTGATTTTCGGGTTGTTCGGCTGCAGTGTGAGGCTTTGCAATTCGCAGTCTTGGAGGGATATGATTGTGGACCAAGAGCATGTACAAGAGAATCCTCAACACCTTTCCATGCATGCTTTGGGATGTGCCTCAATGCCCAGCCACCTTTCCTGAAAAACAAAGTGGCTGTTGGTGACCCTTCGAGATTGTTAGTCAGCCTTCTCGCCCCATCTTCAGGATGTAGCATGGCATATACAAACATATGGCATACAAACCCTTTGTATCAATATCCCGGTCGTTAATAGCATACGTATCTTCAGGATGTCGCTGCCCTTATCAGACATCTGCGCACGATTTCTTTTTGGGTTGCCATCATTTCATTCCAAATCCAAACGGCGTTTGGAGGACCGTTTGGTGGACCGCGCGGGTCAAAGTTGAAGTTCAAACCCTTCTAGGCCAGGTGAGTCTAATCCATTTCTTCATTGTTTTGGGGGGATGATGCGTGGTAGACCGAAGTCAGACCTTTTCTTCACTAGCATGTCATTTGTTCCCATCTTTCTGGTCCCTGTACCCCCGAAAAAGGTCTTCATACTGTTGACGGACAAAATCCTGCACCACCTCACCACTTTACCTTGGAAGGGTCGCATAGCAACCGTCCATCAACAGTAGCACTGCCCATCTCAGACTTTTCTCCAGATGGACATGAACTCTGAAAAAGACCATGGCGCCTGATCCCCAAAGAAGACGGTGGAACCGCCGCTGAACTGCTGCGCAGAGCCATGCAGGAGAGGAGTCGGTCTTCGTGTTTTCCCCCGACCCGGAAAGCCATGCCATCATCCTGCAGCACTATGGGGATTGGCATGCTGTGTCAGTGGTTTGGCAGCAGGATGGGGAGACTTCTGGGTTGGATCCGTGTTCCGGTCGTGCGGGACGTCTAGGCCTAGGCTTAGCTAATACTGGATCATTGGCTCTGATGATGGTTGATCAAGCACCTTCTCAGCAAGTTGGAATTGGTGGTCACCCAGCGCTGTCACCTTTTCATGCATATTTTCTCCACAGAAACTCGGGCAGACCTGGATTTCTTCCCCGAGTCTTTGCTCGGACAGCGAGGACTGAGCCTTCGCTCCTGACATGTCATCATGATTAAGTGGACAAAGCAGCTGTTTGTAGACGAAAACGGTCATCCGTAATATGAAGCCACGAAATATCAACGTAACCAGGATGATTTCAAGGAGCGTTTTTGGAACCTCTTTAGGATCTTTCTTTAATGATCTTCAGGATTGCACCAGGTCCGATGCCAGTCTTTGTTGATGCTTCAGTCATCTCCGATCCATTGAAAAAACAGATCAAAAGCCGTGTCCCGTGGGTTTGCGCCCTTGCAATCCCTCGGAACGGATCGATCGGGATCGATCGTCTCGGGAGAGGTCTTGGGGGTAGGTCGGCCCCAAGGGCTGATGCTGAGATGTCCAACACTGGGGTATATTGTGGGGGGGTTGTACATTCAGAAGAGCAGAGAGATACCTGAGATACCCCGCAAAAACAGGCATCCTTCGTTTGGGGGACTATTTTTGACTTCTTGTCCTTTTCCTTACCAGAGATCCGTTGCAGAAAAGGGTCAGTTGTCAGGCTCCAACCTCGTGAAGCGTCGACCAAACTCGTGCAGCTCTTAGGCCTCGACGGGCTCGGACCTGGCTCAGAGTACCTCTGACGGGGCCTATGCCATCTATGCGCCTGCAAAGCCAAGCAGGGCAGAGTGGCTGGGGGGGTTCAGCTTCGCATTCCAAGATCCCAAGGACCTTTGGCTCCAAGAGGAGCCTTGAAAGGTGGGAGCTTGGAGGTCCAATGAGGTGAACAAGAAGCAAACCAAAAGGCCAAGGATTCGAACATTCCTGGACTTGTGCTTTGGTCATGTTGGGTCCTTGTCGACATGAACATGAACCGTCTCGGATCCATAAAGACTGTTGGACCCTCACATTTTTGGATCGAGACCGTGGATCCAGACCCTTTCAGGACGGTGTTTCTTTTTTTCACGACTTGGGGGGTTGTGGTATGGTCAAGTGATATGTTCTCCGTTGAAAAAAAGTGGTCACATGGGTAGTAGGCTTGGCCATGCGAACGCGATGGCGCTGGCGATCGCCTGCGATCGGCTCTTCCGAACCTGAGCCAAGACAGTCTTTTCACCAGGCTCATACTGTCTGAAACTGTAGCCAACGAGTTGTTGACTCGAAACCACTCAACATCTTTTCCGTGGATTGGCCTACTTTCCTTGTTCGGATTCGGCTTTCTCAAGAGGTCTCTACTCATCACCCCAGGTGCCTTTGGGTGATTTCCTGCCCAGCCAGAAGAAGTCTGCCACCATCTACTACGCAGCGACCAAGCCAAAGAGCGAGACGAAGCCGATCACGTGATACGAGCAGAGCACGTGAGAACGGGGATGCAATTACTGCAGTAAAAGAAACACACATGGAAGTGGAGAAACTACAGTAAGATGAGGTGCAGCCTTGCAAGGCCTCAAGCTTTCCTTGTTTGGGCTATCAACAAAGCGGCTAGAGTGATCTTTTTGCCAAGGGGAGGAATTCGCCAGGGATGGAACATGCCCCAGTAAGAAAGGTGTTGTTTTCCCTCAGGCCCAAGTTCAACCGGGCCGCGAAGTGTGGGTTCTTACAGTGTTCCTTGGACCCCGTCCAACACGAATTTCGATTCCAGACGCCTGACTGTGACAGGTCACCAGGTAAGCGTGCAGTCCAGACTTCAATCGGCGGATGGGAGAATTCTTGACTTGTCTATCCCTTGGTCAGGCCGCTGACGTTGGTTCAACGACCCCACCTAGAGATTCAGAACCAGGATGCATCTCCTGACGAGGGGCGGGATTGCGCATCAAACCATCTCCAACGCATCTCCTCTTTTTTTGAACCTTTGTGGTCCATTTCTCTTGGGACCTGAAACCACTCCAAAGATATCCAAAGATGGTCGGACTCTTCAGAGACCCCCCCCACCATCCGAGACGGACACCACAGGCCGCTGGGGCCGATCACCTCCTGGACTTGTTGCGGGTGGCCGAATCAGGCGACCCGCTCGTAGCCTCCGGTGGCGCGAGTGGCGAGGGGGTTGAGCATGGCGGGGGGGAGGAAAACACCATTGGTGGTGATCCAATGACAGGCTGTCACAGCTTTGCGGTGATCCAGCTCCCCCATACCATGAGAAAGTCAGGCCTGCCGAACAAATGGGTGAACTATAGACAACAAGTGATTTTTGGGCTCCGCATGTCTTTGAGAATGGTGGGCTGTGGGTGGAACAGGGTGGAATGGTGGAATATGGTTGTGACCGCCGGTTTGAAGCTC